AGTTAGTAACCAAGTGTTGGTCAAATTGAGTAAGTGCGAGGAAATCCATGTACCTGGGACTACTACACTTGTTCACAACACGCTTTTAAATCAAGGGCTCTGGTCAAGGTTGCTCAAAGAAAAGTCCCTCAGCCGATGTGGGTTACCGTGAACTATTTTGTGTCCTTAGAGTCTAAGACACCCCTGTTTTAAAAACCCGGCTTAGGTCAGCACTTCGTCATCAATTTGTCCAGATAACACACAGCAAATAGGCTTGGAAAACAAGTTCACTCGACAGACGGCTACTGATTCGTTTACCTATGTGCGAAGTATCTTGGATACTTTTACTGCCATCTGTTGACTTGTTTTCAGATCGCACTTTTCGCTTTGGATAGATGAAAAAATTATACCAGTGAGGACCCTTTCCAGGTGGAAGGTCCATAAGGATCAGTTTCGAATGAAGTTTTATACATGTGGGCTGATGAGTAACCACAGTACGTACAGTGCATAATCTAACACCTGGCAGTGTAAGACGCTTATCGCGGCGCGTGGACAGGTGGTTTGAGAAAATGGTATAGAGGTCAATGAGTGAGCTTTCAAGAAGGCCGATGATAATGTTAACTGTCCGAATATGCCATCATTACCCATTATAAGAAAACACAAAGTGGCGAACAAGCTCGTCTTCCGTGATTCTTCTACAGGCTAATACATCATAACTTATATATTACAATTTATATATATATATATATATTTAGAAGGTGGGAGAAATCATGACATCCAGTGCACATGACCGAATGTTGCTCACACACTTTTGTCCTCACACATGCGCCCACTGGTTCGGGTCGTTAGGGGTGGGTGGGTGGGGAGGGATGGCTGTGTCGTGTGTGGGATGTTGATCATGGAAGACCGAGTGTGTTCTTACGAATTGTTTTTGGGAGTATAGGGGGAGGAATATTATATAGGTGGATTCCGATCGGTTCCGCTGTGGCCAAAATGCGACTCCTAATCCTCTTTCAAACAGTTTGATCTAAATTGTAATATATTTTCCTGTAGAACAATCAACGCAAACGAGCTTGTTTGCTACTTGTATTTTCTTACATTGGATAATTTTACTACAGACGAACCCTTTACATATTCTCATCAAACGGATTACCTCAACTGTGGATTCATAAACAAATTCGGATTTTGCGAGAAACTAGAAGATGAGAGGCGGTAAAAACCCCAACAAAAGACATCATTTTACAATGGCACAAAATACTTATGTTTTTGTAAATTACCGTGACAATTAGGAGCAGACAGTATAACTTTTCTTAAAGTTTGATGTGGCCTAAGGTAACATCTAGGTATTTAAACAAAACACTCAGACAATGCGGTTTGGGGAACCGAACTCAAAAAAGGCTGATCACATATTTATGTGCAATGCTTTCACTTCCCTATGGGATCAGAGGCAGCCGTTTAACTATTCTGGAAATGTGAAAGTTCTCTGTGTTTCACTGTTACACCGGAACGCATTATGAAGATGGGATGAACCAAAGGAGCGAGAACCGATACATTTGACTCCATTTACAGCCCTTACTTTAATCTGCTCTGCTCAAATCGGTGTTGGACTAGTTTATACAAGAGTGAACGATGACTGTTGACGGTACAACGTTTCCCAGCTGTGTTGGTTGCCTAGGGAAGCTTCCTTTCCCGCTATTTATGGATCTGTACTGATCGTTGCGAGTTGTTGTTGTCTGGAGATATGGGCAAGCACTGTGTACTGTTCGGATTTTCAGCGTTGCGTTTAAATAGGTGAAAGCAAATCGCCATTGACTCGTCTTGTTTNGTCTTGTTTGTTTCTCATATCTCCTCAGTCATATGGCAAACGAAATGCGACTGTTGATTGATAAGCGAACCAATCAGGAATATGTGGGCAAACTGTTCCCATTGGATGATCCATTGAATCGTGTGTGTGGTGCTCGGGAATTCGAATGTCTCTCACGACTGAATCACGCGAATGTGGTTGAGCTAACCGATGCAGTCATCTGCGACAACACGTTGGTCCTGGTTATGGAACAGTAAGTTTGTGGCACGATTGATGAAACCTATGAAGTGATACTCATGTACTCCTGTCTTCACTCGATTGAATAAGCGTTGCTAACTGATGTCAACTTCTTATTGCTGTACCAGCCCTAAATATGGTGTCCAAACTAGCTTGTCCGTCGTGGCTGAATCCACCAACAGACAAACAGACAGACAGACAGACAGACAGACAGACAGACAGACAGACAGACAGAC